TGGTAGTCCTCCAGGTACATCAACGGCTAGCCCTTGTGTTACCCATAAGACTGAGCAAACAAAAAAAATCAGCAACCAAACTGATAATATTTTCATTTTTGAGCTTGAAACTCGTCAAAAGTATAGATTCAGCTAGGCTTATTTTGCGTGTGGGAATGATGAAAACTTGATAATGTGGTTGGATTTAATAGGCGTGAGATTTGGGAAGTTTCCTGCCCAAGAAAACTGGTTATCATGAAAATGTCATGGTTCTTAACAGTGAATTTGTTCTAAATTTATTCACAAGTAATTCAGGGATCATGCTATCTTTTCTTTCCAAGGAGTTGTTATTTATTGAGTGACATAATTTTAATGTGATTACTAATTAGTCTTAATAGATATTTAATTTTGAATATCACAGGCCGCTGAAAAGATAGCCTCGACACAAGCAGAGTCGCTGATATGCTTGTGTTTCCCTCACGCAACAGACCAATGCTTCAACGAATTTCAGATGAACATTTCGTTTGCAAAGCAAAAACCAAAAGTGTAATATGATATTTATTGGCTGAAAAATCACAGCCAAATACAAGTCATGATCATTAAAAGACATGAAATTTGTTTTGCTTTATAAATATTAGGCAAAATTTGGAGAATTTTACATAAGAGCTGGTGCTTAAAAACACACAAACTCAATGTTACAACAGAAATGGTTTCCTCCAATGAATTCCATCCTTGCTACTATACTTGAATAAATCATAGGAAGTTTCTAATCATCAAACTACGGCTCCCACTTTCTGTCAAGAGATAAAGTGGGGCGAAATACATAGGAAAGATAAATTGGGAGAGATAGTGTACTTCCAATGCTAGGAAGTGCTCCATCAAAAATATTTAATTTTCAACTTTCTATTAGGCAGTTCTCTTTGAAGAGTGAGAGGATGAATCAGACTTCTCAGCCAGATAGTGCTCAAGCATATCTTCTTCATCATCTGCATTAAACCAAAGTGATCAAACAATTTCTTCCATCCAATTTGCAACATTTACGCTTCAGTTTTACTCAACCACATCACAATTATGAAAGGATCAAATAAATGTTCTTGGCTCAATCAATACTGGTTATAGTCTTGTCTACCAAGAGAGGGACTCACCTTCAAAATCATCATCATCAAAATCAACATCTTCCTCGTCTTCCTCATCAGATCCTTCATTGACTGGAGCTGCACCTTTCTGCAGAAGATAAAGTCACAATGTTAAACATGAGCTTTCATGAATTAAACAGACGATTTCTACTGATATCTCCCTGCATTCTTTCTTTGTTGATTCAGGATTGCTTCGCACCGTAGAAAGCAGTCAAATCATCCAATTAGATCTTTGGCTGAATAAAATTTAATAGACTTCTCATCTTGCATATACGTTTTTAATACTAACATAAATTTTGTTGAGCCTCAGATTCCACATAGGGTGAAGATATAACTTATTACCAGAAAGAATAGTGGTTTCACATAGTGATTAGATTCTATTCCTAAAAAGGTGGAAACACATGTTAGAAAAAGGCTCATTAATCAATGGGTACAAGAATTGGAAATAGACCATCCCAAATTCGACTAATCATTAAAGATTATTAGCCAATCTAAAGGAAACAATGATGTGCTTGTTTCTGCTATCCTACCAAATCCATGGTCACAAGGATATTGATGGTATATGTCCACAATGTTATTGGGAGGAAAATTTAGGAAAAATAAATTACCGCTGTGGCTCTTCCACTTTCAAACCACTGCCTGCCTGTGAGCTTCTTTTCCTTGGGTGCTGTGAGAGCAGACTCGGGCATTAGCCTGAAAATTGATGCATATAGAGTTTATTTGTGATGGTACAATATATGCCTTATATTTTTCATAGCATAGACAGTTTTGCTTTTTCTTCTTCCTTTTAACACATAATGCATCATGATGAAGAGGTAGATTAACCACAACAAACTAAAGAGGTAGATTAACCACAACAAACTAAGGAAATCCTCCATGCACTAAACTAGAAGAGGGACAGCTAGCCCAGGATTATTTCCTCTAGTGCAGGCTATGTTGCTCTGGCTCTTTGTTTTCCTAAAGTACGCATGTCAGACACCTCAGAGTGAATGTGGGTATAAGGCATGACCCTCCAAATATAAGGAAAAACTTAGCAAAAATTCTACATAAGAATGTTGGAGATGTACCCATGTCTGCCATTCATACCCAAGTTTGAGCAATGTAGGTTCTAGGCGATATTATAGCACATTGAACAGTCACCTCTCTTATGTAGGTACCTTTATGCTTAATTACCTGTAAAGCAAAGTTTACTCATATGAAAACATCTCCATGATTCTTTTTTTTTTTTTTAAGGAAGATTTTCATGATATGAATAGTGTTCCAAAGTGTTGAACCAGAATAGAAACTGCATTTTAGTTATTTCATTTTTTCCCCCTAATGAAATGGAACCCATTATGGTAGCTATTGGTACATGTACTACTAAGCAAGACACGAGCTATTTAAGTCCAGACTGACAAGATAGGAAACTGAAACGAGGACATGAGGCGCTACATCTTATCCAAAATCAGCCAATTCTCTAGCAAGGATAAACTTTATATGATAATGATAACTAGCATGAGGAACTTTAGCATGTTTACCATTAGCAAACTTGCAGACTTGAGAACAAAAACCTGACATAAAAGTAATGTTTGTGCACATGTGCATATGTACAAAAAGCATTTAGCTATCAAACTTACTTGGCTCGCTCTAGTGCCAACTCTGCCTCAAACCTTTCCCTCCATGCCAAAAATGTGTCAACAGTAACAGGTTCTCCATGCGGTACAATTACCTGCAAGAAGGGAAGCTATGATAGCTCGTTTTACATGAAGACTAACATCTGATATTAAGAATAGGAATAAGCCATTAAACTTTGCCCAAATGATGCAGAGAAGCCCTCATACTTATAGTAGGTTTAATCAGGCTATAGAACTTTTTATTTCAGTGAAATTAATCCAATTACAAACAAACTTGTTTACCTACAACAAGAACACCTGTAATAGAAATTAACAAAATATTTTTGAATATGGAATATCCTGCAACAGAGTTGCCTTTATTGCAATTTGCACCTAATATTAGGTCACAGGTTTGATTGAACCAAATAAACGTACCATGGACAGTTAGACAAAGCTCAATGGCCTCTAGATTTCATCCTTTAACAAAAATTAAAGGTACCTATCATGAATGTGCAACAAAGGAAAAAGGAATTTTGGGATCATAAACAGAACATTTGCAAACGTCTTCAGCTTGAATGCAAATGAAGAAGGAATGTAAAAAAGGTAAAATAAATAAAAAGGCAACTCAAAAATTGCATGACGGCTTCACTGTATACATATGCAACAACTACTCATCTGGAATAATAAAAAAATTGAGGCTCTTTCTTTTTTTTCCTTTTCTTCCGTCTGCTGACTTTGTCCTTTTACACACATAAAGAGAAACCTTCGTGCTCTCATACTGGAACAGCATCATGATTTGGGATCATAATTAACACAAAGTGTTATGTTGTTGCTCTTGGATTCATCTAATAGATACCTTAAACCATACGTCTTTGTCAGATTTGAACAACAAATGAAACACACCACTGCTTTGTTGGATTAGATAACATTTTTACAGCAGATCAACCATTTAGTATTAAGAGTTCCAAGTGGAGATTATGAATTATTTTTATAATAGCACAAACAACAAAATCCCGAAAACTATCTACCAGGAAAGTGTCCAAACTTTTGTTCACTAGATACGACTTGTCCAGAAGTCTAGTTGCTATAATAGTAACCAGCATAGTAACTCTTAAGAATATTAGCACTGTCTTTCATAAATTAACAGTTATTCCCTGATTTGAGGAAATTGATCCTAACAGGTTGCATCACTGTACAAACATTGTTGACATGATCCTGTCATTTCCTCATTTTTGAAGTTTGAACTTGAGAAAAAAGGGGGTGAGAACAGTTGAAGGAAAATCAATAGGAAAGATACTGGATCCAGTTTGTTTCAAACCATATCTCCACAAGCTCAAGGGGTATATTTCTTAACTTCCATTAACTTGACAGCAGCCACAATGTGAAACATATACATCCTTCGTCTCAGTAATTGGTTTTCAGTAGAAGTGGCTCAACTATTTAACTTCTCCCCTCTTCTCCAAGATACTATTACACATTTTTTGTAACACTTAATGATGTAAAAGTAACATCCTTTCTAATGTTGGCACTCAGTCTCAGCTTCCTTCTCTTCTACACTCATTTTCAAGTCATTTTCTACATGTACTCAAAGGATATTTTTTGGGTCTGACCAAGTCGAGTTTGTCCAGCATTCTAACTGATGTCAGTTGAGATTTATTTGACACATATACATTATCAACACTGCAAACTGGGAGCTTCACTGTGCCTTTTCTTATACCAAGCATTTACAATAACAAAAAGTCCATTTGTTTCATGCTTCTAGTTAATGCTTGGATACCAGAGCCAACAATGTCAGAAGCTCATCATGAGCACAAGCTATCTAATTTTTAACTTCGAAACATATATCGAAATCTATCCTTGCTCTCAATTAGGCATCAGCGGGCATCACCTTGCAACTGCATGGCATTGTAGCGTCTTATGACAAAAACAACATTCCTTTCTCTAAAGGTCTAAGTTGTATATTAACACATGCAAGTAGTTCTATCTACAGACCTAAACATACTTGAGCTATTTATACAATGAACATAACATTGTATTTAACTAGCACGTGGGCAATGGTTGCAATGGAAATAGAATTTGCTAAGGATTGCCCAAAAAACAAAAGCTATAATCACACTTGAATCTAGTAAACAGATCCAAAAGAGCAGAGGAAACGAAAACGCAAAATACAGCCTCACCTCATCTTTTGTAGCCTCTTCTTCTTCAGCATTGTCAGCATCAGCATCTTGGCCATATCTTTCAGACAGCCATTCCTTGGCTGATGTAACCAAAGTGTAAATCATAGCCATTCCAAGGTTTTCAGATGCCTGAAAAGTGAAATTATCAAGTGAGAATTTGCATAATCTGGAACCGTATAAGCACTTTGCATATAAGAATATATGCTAATAGGCATACCAATTAACATAACACTTGTTATTGCAACCTTTTTCTAGAAAGAAAGATTAATTAATTAAACAGATGCTACTGGGAGCAGAAGATGAATGTAAGACAGAGTTCAATTGGCTAAAGTTTTGGCACACTTGAGATTTTCATGTGCCATTTAAAACTTCCCATAACACTTCCCATAAGGAGATTTTGCCTTTATCATTACATGGTAACAGGGTTGGAGAGATACATGATGTCAACTCTCTGTTAAGAGAAGAAAACTGAACTTTTGGAAGAATATCCCCCGGAAGCTTCAGATATGCTTAAAGAGTAAATTACAACAGAAGAAAATATAATCGCCTTGCAAGGTTACCTCCTGTTCAAGCTTTTCTTTCGTGACTTTCAGGTCTCTAGTTTGTATTCCCCGTATACTGGAAAAGGAAACGAAAAAGCAGATTATTTAAAGAAGTTCATCAGAAAGAACAATATCAGAGGGGCAAAGAATGCATCTTCTGAACAAGATCCCAAATGTTCAAGATAAAGTCCATCAATTTTTAGTAGATGGAATAATCAGCAAGCAACTTGCAGAAAATGGCAGTCTGCTATCCATTAAAGATAAATGTTAAATAATGTCAATATTGATAATTTATCACATTCAAAATACAATTATGTATTTTAGTCCAATTTATTATATGGGGTTATCGATTAAAGGAACCATACACGCAAGCCTATAAGGACACAACCCTTCTAGGATTTAGTCACATAGTAACCAGTGACACGTTAGTGCAGACTTTCACTATAGATAGCTTCAAAATTATATCAGAAGAAGATAACCAAAAGTAGATCTAGCTCTCCCCTGGTACTGATTATACAGCTACTTATGTTTGGAATGAAATATGACATAGCACTGGCAGAGGCTTTTTTGGTTCCATCTTCACATTCCAAAGCATGCTTTGATTTCATGGATGGCTATCCTAAATAGATTGCCTACCAGAGACAGGCTGCTGTCCTGGGGAATTTCTGTTAGAAGTGAATGTGCGCTATGTAACCAAGATCTGGAGACCAGATATCATTTGTTCCTTTCTTGTGACCATTCCAAGCATATATGGAAACGTGTGCTGCAAACCTGTGCAATTCAGAGGGATGTTGCTTACTGGAATGGAGATTTACATTGGGCAGTTCACAGACTCAGAGAGAAAGCTCTAATCTCAGTCATCCTACACAGAGCTTGGAGCGCTTTTGTCTATTATTTTTGGAGAGAAAGATATAACAGAGTTAATGTGCAAGCTGCAAGTTTGGGTTCCAAGGTTCATAAATTAATCACAGATGCTATGTGTCTTTATGGTTAGAAGAACATTGCTTATGATTCTGTAAATAGGGAACTTTGTAATTCCTTGGGCTAAAAACTCTATGTTTAATTAAGTTTTTATGCGCTGCCTCTTGCAGCAGTTTTCTTTGCTTTTTTTGGGTAATACAAATTTGCTTATCCAACAAAACAGTAGATCTGACAACTAGTAGGCTCAGTTTTGGTTTGTCAGTTTTACTAACTTCTTTGCTGTCAAAAACAAAAGGCAAAAATGAGTATGGGTATAGAAGAAAAAAATACGTATAAGAATTAGTTTCACAGATAACAAAAAGCATGGTCTACTACAGTTATGAACTATTAACTGTGAATTAGAGTTACTTTCCGTCTATTTGCTCCTTTTTAATCAAATAAGATGTTGTTTTTGCTATATAGCAATATCTGAAAAGGCCAAAATCAAGCAGCAAAGGTGATCAAGAAAGAAGCCTTGACAATTTTCAGAGGTCTATATTGCCTACAGGCATCAGATGAGCTGTTGTTTCAGAGGTGAGGAGCATATGATTAATTAGTGTTTCCACTCATGAAATATTTTACTCTAATTGAACATTAAAAACAAAAATGCAGTTAATAAATAAAAGGCAGTTGTTTGCTGTTCTAGTCTCAGATGGTATTAGGGGAACACCAATACGATCAAGGAGAAGTTAAGACTTTGCTTGGAAAGGGGGAGGAATGGAGAATTTGTCAATCTAATGGCCAATATTTGTAATCATCTTTCTAGTTTACAACATAACCGTTGGATTAAAAACTTTTCAATCCTCCCATTGAGCAAAGCCTTAATGGACTTCAAACAAAGGGAAAACTTATTTCCTTCTCAGATCATCTGAGTAAATGGAAGATGGTCATATATCCTTATAAATAGAGGATGCCTACTGGCACATTGCATTGAAAGGACATACTGACCTTTTTACATTCAGAAGAGGAGGCTCATCCGGATACTTTTCTGTATGCGAGAAAATCAAAGCCAGCTGAACTGCAACAAAAGTTTGAGCAACAGCTTAGGTTCATAGGGAAACAGAAAATCCTGAACTAAGGGCAGTAAACAAAATCCCCAAAGTTAAGCAAATTGAATCAACTTTCACGTCATAAATATATTTGTCCATGTCAGCACATAAGGGCTACAGATAAATATAACACACTACAATTTGTTGGATAATATAAAAAGAATAACCTGGTGTGTTGGTTGACTGATCTGTGTCATCATCCTGTCAAACAGAAAACAAGGCAATTAGATGAGAGGAAAATTA